ACCTTTTTTAATATTAACCAGTCCCACTCCCTGGAAGGGTTTAGTGATTATTGTCACCCTAAAATATGGGAATTTTGCAGGAGAGCTGACGTCCTTCCTAAGGTCAGATGTGACGAGATGGAGCCAGGAAAAAAAATAATTGGTCCTGGTTTTAAGTGTTAAGCAATTCTGCCTCCCTGAAATAAGCAGTATAATTTATTGTTTTTTCTTGCTCACACAGCAAAATCCACGAACTACCGAGACAACCAGGAGGGGAAATTTGTCCCCTCACTTAAACCCATTTTTGCCGTGTAAAGCCGCATTCCCGAGCCAGCAGCTGCTCCAAAGGGCTGATCCCAGACCCCCATTCCACTCCAGACACCCCCAGGCTGGAAAGGGTCTGTTTGGGTTAGAGGATCACCCCAGGACAGCCCAGGTGTGCCGGCCAGCTGGTTTGGGACCACGGAATGGACACACCAGAGCCGGCTGCCAGCGTGAGGCCGAAGGCAGCCGCCACTTTCCCAGGGATTTTCCCTTTGCTGTGTGTTTGGAAGGTCACACAGCTGTAAGGCAGGCACAGGAGGAGCTGGAAGCCTGCAGGGATCATTGCCTCCGTCCCACATGTCCCATGGAAGGAAGCTCTCCCGTGGACTGACATCCCATTAACTCCTGCTGGTGGGAGCCTATTCCTGGAGCTGGAAATCCTTTGGAAGCTCCAACTGCCAGCTGCTCATCCCGCAGATAACTCCGGTCCCATCCCTGACCTGGTGACTCGTATTTATTTTCTCATTTTATAAGAACCAGGTTCTTCCCCGCTCTCATTCCTGGTGGGAACGAGTGCTCAGGTGTGAGGCTGCTCCGTCTCCGATTCCCGAGATGGAAAACTGGGATCTTGTCCAACAGGCTGTCTGCCTTCCTGGGAAAAACCTCGGCTCCACACGCTCCCAATCCTGCCATCAGCTGGAGCGAGGTGGAACTTCACAGGATGGGACAAACCGGCTCTTTTTCCAAAATGACTGTGAGGACACAAAGTGCTTCCAGAGCCCAGGAGAGCTCGGAGAGGAAAATCTGGAGGGCACAAAGCCTGGCAAAGCTTGGGAAAGGGCTTGGTGCTCTCTGGGAGGTGGCGGATCTCTGCCTAGGTCCCCATTAAATAAAACAGATGCGATGCTGGGAAGGAATTCCTCCCTGTGTGGGTGGTGAGGCCCTGGCACAGGGTGCCCAGAGCAGCTGTGGCTGCCCCTGGATCGCTGGAAGTGTGCGAGGCCAGGCTGGACGGGGCTTGGAGCAGCCTGGGACAGGGGAAGGAGTCCCTGCCCATGGCAGGGGTGGCCCAGGATGATCTTTAGGGTCTCTTTTCCACCCAAACCCCTCCATATCCGCCCCCGTTTCCCGCCATCGCCCCAGCCCTGAGGGGACTGAGCGCCGGGGTCTCCCGGTCCCGCACGCAGGGGCTGCGAGCGGCGGGACGCGCCGGGACCAGGAGGGGGCGCCACCGCCCGCTAGCCCCGCTGCGCATGCGCACGCGCACGGCTCCCCCTTCCCCCGGGCGGAGCGCGGGAAGGCAGCGACGGGCCGGACCATCAGGGGGCACGGCGCGGGGGGGGGTCTGTAACGGCCACGGGGCTCCGGTGTGAGGTCTGGAACCCTCCGGGGCTCCGGTGTGAGGCCTGTGAGCCCCGGGGTTCCGCTCCGCGGCCGCCTCAGCCCGGGGAACGCCGTGCAGGGAGCAGGCGCCCCTCGTTAATCACGGCGCTCCCCCCTCATTCCGTGTCCGCCATGGCCGCCCACCCCTCAAGGGTGACAGCCCCGCCCCGGTGGGCGCTGAGGGCCGGGGTGGGGCGCGGGCGAGGGGACGGTCCTGGGGCGGAAAAGGGACCGACCCCAAGGGCAAAAAAGGGTCAAACTCAGGAAAACCACGAGATTGTTCTGGAACAACAAAGGGACTGCCCCTGAGGGCACTGAAGGGACCGACCCAGGGGCAGCTCAGCCATCACAAACACCCCAGTTAGAACAGGGACAGAGCTCAAGCCCTTTTATTGCCCATTCCTGGCAGCACTGCTGGGGTGGGACAAGGGACGGGAGCAGGCTGGGATGGGGACAGCGGCCCTGCCTGGCTGTCACAGCCCCACCCAGGGTGTCCCCGAGGCTGGCGGGCTCCAGGCGCTGGATTCCCCGGAATCCGTGATGTCCTTGGCGGCCACCTGGATGTGGTGGAGGCTGCCGGGCTCCAGCTCCGTCAGCGTGTGGGATGTCAGCTCGTAGGGCCCCACCTGGGGACGGCGGGGTCAGGGACACGCTGGGCACGGCCACAGCTGTGCCTCAGTTTACCCAGGGGGATGCCGGTACCGTGGTGAGGACGGAGTCGTTGTCCCGGGAGTAGCGGATGCGGTAGTGGAGAGGGAAATACTCCGGGAATGGCCAGGATGATGGAGGGCTCCACTCCAGCAGCAGCTTCTGGGGCTCCCCAGGGATGGGGGAGACCCGCAGGGCCTCGGGGGGGTCTGGCTTTACTGGGGAGACAAGGAATGAGAGAATTCCAGGATGGTTTGGGTGGGAAGGGACATTGAGGATCATCTCATCCCACCAGGGACACCTTCCACTATCCCAGGTTGCTCCAAGCCCCATCCAGCCTGGCCTTGGGCAGTCCCAGGGACCCAGGGGCAGCCACAGCTTCTCTGGAATCCCACTGCAGGGCCTCACCACCTTCACAGCCAAGAATTTTTTTCCAATATCCCATTTACATTCTCCTTTAGATTAAAACCAACCCTCTTGTCCCACGACTGCGTGGGAAAAGTCAGTTTCCTTCATTTTTAGACAAAGAGAGGATGTCCTGGGTGCGGGATCCAGCATGGGATTGTTGGGGACAGAGCCCTCACGTCCCCCTGTGAGCTGTGCAGGGACAGCCTGAGCCCCAGCAAATCGTTGCACTGATGATCCCAAGCAGGGGAAAGCCCCAGAGGGTGAGGCAGGAGGGTCCTGCAGGGGACCGCGGTGTCCCCCACCCCTCAGCACTCACTGATGTTCTCCAGCAGGAAGGGCAGGGCTCCGGAGGCAGCTCCCAGGGCGTTCCGGGCTGTCACGTTGAGCTCGTAGGGAGTGAGGGAAAACACCTGCAGCTCCCCGAAGGAGCAGCTCCGCGGGCCCGTGGGGATGCACTCACCCGTGTCCGTGCCGTGCCTGGGGACACAGGGACAGCTGCCAAGGGCTGGGTGACACGGCGAGAGGCTTTGGGGACGCCCACTGACCTGTAGGTGGCCACGAAGTCGGTGTCCAGCAGGGGCTCGGGGCTCAGCCCCCAGGAGCAGTTCACAGCCTGGGGGTAGCTGGTGGCCCAGCACTCGATGGCCGGTGGCGGGGGCGGGTCTGGGACAGGGGACAGAGGGACAGGGGGACAGGGGTCACCCCACTGCCAGCACCCCCAGGGACCCCCGGCCAGCAGCGGGGTCACAGCAGGGCTGGGGGGCACTCACAGCCCAGCCGCAGGCAGATGGTGGCCCAGGTCTCGCCAGTGACAGGGTGGTGGCAGCTGTAGTGGCCCTCGTGGGCCAGGCTGGCGTTGGGCAGGGCCAGCCCCGGGGCTGGGGACGTGCCCAGGACCGTGTCCCCCCGGCGCCACTCGGCCTCGCCCCCCGGGCACAGCAGCAGCACCTCAGCGCCCAGGGAGCCGTGCTGAGGGGTGCAGGGGCCTGGGGGACACGTGGGGACACGGCAGGGGCAGGGACACTGCATCAGGAAGGGTCTTGGCCTCCCTGGGCCACCCAATGCCATTCCCAGTGTCCCATGTCCCTCTGCCCCTGGTCCCCCCGTGTCCCCAGACCCCCAGGCATCATCCATCCCTCCATGCCCATCCCAATGTCCCCAGTCTCTCCAGTGTCCCCGCACTTCTGTCCCTAGAGACCCTGTCATTGTCCCCTCGCTGTCCCAAATCCCCTCCATCCCTGCTCCCTCCATCTCCAACCCAGTGTTCCCAGTCTGCCCAGTCCTGCTGTATCCAGGATCCCCAGACCCCCAGCCTCCATCCCAGTCCCCTGTACCTCTGTCCCCGTTGTCCCCATCCCCAGTGCTCCCCGCCGTGCCGTTGTAGGGGACAGTGCAGGCGGGTGCCACCAAAGCCACGACCCAAAGCCACCTCATGCCAGGAGACTCAGCGGGGCTGCCCAGGCACCTGTGGGGACAGGCAGGACGGTGAAACCCCAGCACTGGGGACAGCACAGACACCACATGTCCCCTGGGGGCCAGGGACATCACCCTGGAACCACCCCACACTGCTGTGCCTCAGTTTCCCCCCCAGCCCTGCCACACGCCCTGCAGAGGGACAGGTTCCAAAGGGGTCAGACCCTGCAGCCAGGAAAGAGAGGGGGTAAAATTAAATTCCCGCTGTTCCTGCTGTTTCTCAGGGGGACGTGCAGCCACCCCTGCTGTCCCACACCTGGACTTAGGGGTTTGTATCCCTCGGGTGGGTCCCTACCTCCATCCCGGGCAGGACTGTCCCTCACAGAGACCCCCAAAGCCCGGCCTGGAGGCTGAGCTGAGCTCCCTGCTTTCCCCAAGCCCAGCACTACAGGGACAGGTCCTACCCTTGTCACCTCCCGCCACAGCTGGCTCACCCCCAGAGGGGACACGCTCCGCTTTCCCTGGATTTGGGGGTGCCCCAGACCTCCGACACCCCCTGCACTGCCCGTGGGGATCCCAGTGCCCCCAAACGCTCACCACAGCAGGGCCAGCTGGGACCGCAGTGTCCCCGCCGGATCCCGGCGCTCCCCAGCCCATTTCCTCGCAGGAAGTGCCGTTCCCGTGGGGACGGAGCCGCTTCCCAGCCTGCTGCCCCCACACCCCGCGCCCTTGGGAAAGGGATTCCAGCCCTGGCCAAGAGTTCCCACCTCTCCCCGGCCACCACTCCCTTCCTTCACGGTCACCTTTCCCCTCAAGGGACGGCAGGGCTGGAGATGGTGGCATCGATCCCCTGCTGTCCCCATGTCCCCACAGCCCCCCGGTGCCCCCAGAGAGGAGCCACCCCATTAGTGTGACTATAAATAACTTTATTGCTGCTGTGCTGGGGGTGGGCTGGGTGCCCTGAGAAGCAAAGGGACACACAGGGTGCTGTGACAGACCTGTCCCCCCGTCCCTGTGCCACCCGTGCTGGCAGGGGCTCATCTGCCCTGCTCCTGCAGCCGCTGCATCCTCAGGATCTGGCACAGGAGTCTCTGCACGTCCTCGTCCATGTGGCCCTGGGGTGGAGGGGACATTGGTGGGGACATCAGGGAGGCTCCGTGCGTGTCCCTGGGCTGGCACCTGGCTCAGCCCCTCTGTTGCCTCCTGTGGATGGCCCAGTCCCCCCCCCCAGTGTCCCCAGCCCTGTCCCCAGCCCTGTCCCCAGCTCACCTGCACAGCATAGAGCAGGTGGCTCCGGTAGAGCGTCACCACCTTGCTGTGCCTCGTCTCTGTCTCCTGCAGCACAGGGAGGGGTTTGGCCACGGGGCTGGGGGCTCGGGGGAGCCCCGAACCCACCAGGTGACCCACCTCCAGCTTCTCCTCCAGCGCCCGGATCCGCGCCTGGAGTGTGGCCGTGTTGGGTGGGGATTGTGGGGGCCCCCCCGACTCGGGGAGGGCGTTCAGGGCTTCCTTCAGCCTGAAAACCTCCTTGGAGAGCTCCGTGATCTGCACAGGGCACAGGGGTTACAGGTGGGGCTGCCCCATCCCTGGCAGTGTCCAAGGCCAGGCTGGGCAGGTCTTGGAGCAGCCTGGGATGGTGCCAGGTGTCCTTGCCCATGGCACGGGGTGGAATGGGGTGAGCTTTAAGGTCCCTTCCAACCCAAATTCTGTGACTACGTGTGCGGCTCCAAGGCCACCATTCCCCTCCGAGCAGCCCCTTGTGATTTCCCATCCCCTACCTTCCTGTCCCTGTCCCTGACCAGCCGTGCCGCATCCTCGGCGTGGCCGTGGAGCTCCCGCAGCCGCCGCGCCTCGTCCTGGGCCTGCTCCAGCTGCTTCTGCGCGGCGCCCAGCCTGTCCTCGGCCGCCTGCCGCTCGCTCTTCATGAACAGCGCCTGCCGCTGCACGCGGAACACCTCCTCGCACGTCTTCTCGTGCCGCCGCTCCAGCTCCTGCAGCCGCTGCGCCAGCGCCGCCGCCTCCGCCCGCAGCCCGGCCTCGGCCGCCTCGTGCTGCAGCTCCCGCCGCAGCGCCTCGGCCTCGGCCTCGGCGCGCCCGCAGCGCTGCAGCAGTGCTTCCTTCTCCCGCGACGCCTCCTCCACAGAGGCTCCCGGCGAGGCCGCAGCCTCCGCGGCCTCCAGCCGGGCCTGCAGCTCCTTCAGCCGCCGCTCCCGCTCCTCCAGCTCGGTCTGTGCCCGCTTCAGGGCCGCCCGCGCCTCCGCCAGCTCCGCGCCCGGCTCCCGCTCGCCGGAGGGTGAGGAGGAGGAGGATGGCTGCACCCCCAGCTCGCCTAGCGCCGCCTTGCACTCGGCCCAGGCCCAGGCCGGCTCCTCGGCGGGACGCGGCCCCGCGGTTCCCTCCGGGATGGGCTCCGAGGCAGCACGCTGCCCGTCCCCCCCGGCCCGCGCCGCGGCCTCCCTGCCCTGCGCCCGCAGCCGCTCCAGCTCCCGCTGCAGGGCCTGGTACAGACTGGCGGGCACCACGTCCCCCTGGGCAGGGGGGCTGCTCTCATCCCGCTCGAAGTTCTCCAGCACCTGCCGAGAGACCGTGAGGCCACTGTGGGGCAGGGGACAAGGAACAGTGGGACAGACGGACGGACAGAGGGGGACGTGCCTGGATTTTCTCCCTCAGCTCCTTGTTCTGCACGGTCAGGGACTGCACCTGCCCCTGGAGTGTGGCCAGCAGCTCCTCGGCCGAGGGGCTCAGCGTCTTCTTGGATAGCAGCATCTCTGCTCCTGCAGGGCACAGGGACCTGGGGCTGTGCCCACCTGTGCCCCCACTGCCCAGTGCCCCCTACCCAAGGTGTCACTGGAAGGCTGGCAAGACCTACCTGGGAACTCAAGTGGGTCTCCCTCCTCGTCCTGCAGCGTCTCAATGTCATAGCTCGTGTTCTCCTTCTCATTCTGGGGGTGCAGGGTGGAGGTGACACCCCTGTCCCAGCCCTGGGCACTGCCAGCTGTGTCCTGCCCACACCCACCTCCATCGAGGACAGGCGGCTCCGCAGAGCCTCCACCTCCTTGCCCAGCTTCTCCTTCTCCCCGTCCCGTGCCACCAGCCGCTCCTCCAGCTCCTGGATCTGCAGGGCAGGACATGGAAGTAGTGTCCCTTTGGCTCCTGGCAGAGTCCTGGTGGCATTCCCAGCACCAGGACCCCTCGCAGAGCTGAGGTCACCTCCAGGCTCTTCCCTGGCCTCACCCGTTTCTCCATGGAGCGCAGGGAGGCCTCATCCAGCTCCGCCCGCTGGCAGGACCCAGGGAGAGAACAGGGAGGGATGAGTGCTGTCCCCATCTCCCCTGTCCCCTCTGCTCCCCGGGGACACGGTGGCATGTCCCCAGGGCCCTGCAGCCGGTACCTCCCGTCTCTGCTTCTCCTGCTGCTCCAAGCCCCGGATCTTCTGCAGGAACTGGGCCCTCTCCTGCCGCAGCCGCACGATCTCCTCGTAGGCATCCCGGTCCTCCTGCAGGGAACCATGGAAAGCGTTGAGCCCAGCTCCTGGAAACCCCAAAAATCCCACTGTGTGCCCGAGGGGGCTTTTTGGCACTGACCCCCCAATGAGGGGACCCCTCATCAAGGTATTTTGGGCTGCTCTGCACCTGCCACGCCAGGTGAGGACCTGGGGACTCATTTCTCACCTGGCTGGGGGTGCCCAGGGGAGGCAGAGGGGCCTTCCTCTTCCTCGGGGTGCTGCTCTTCTCCCTGACAGATGACTGGCTGGGCGAAGACGTCTGTGGACACCCCAGGGCAGAGGGGACGTCACACCCACAGTGCCCTCCCTCCTTCCTGAGCCAGGGGACCCTCCAGGGACGGGCACCAGCCCCTCACCTGCGACGCCTGCTCAGTTGACTCCTCTTCTGTGGGGCAGAGCGGGAGGGAAGAGAAATTGAGGAGATTTAGGGATTCAGATCTCCGAGCAGAGCCACCTCAGCTGGGGACAGCACAAGCAAAGGCAGCCCCAAACACCCAGGAAAAGGCGACACATCCCCGCAGGCTCTGCCAGCCCTGCCCGGCCAGTGACAACCCCCCAGGGATGGTGACAGGGAGCCCGGGGTGCCCCCCAGCCTCACCGCTGGCCCAGGAGCGGCGCTGGGCCGCCTCCTGCAGCAGGTGCTGGATGAGGGCATTGCCCGTGGCCAGCCCGTAGTGCGCGGCGTCGTGGCCGGTGGCGTCCACCACGGCCACGCGGGCACCGGCGCTGACCAGCACCTCCACGGTGTCCACGCTGCCGCTCTCGCAGGCCAGCATCAGGGCTGTCCTGGGCACGGGGAGAGCGCGGGTGAGGGGACAGGCCCCGCGGGCGCTGCCGGCCCCCAGCGCTGCGGCCCCACCTGCCCTGCAGGTCCCGGCAGTTCACGGCGGCGCCGCGGTGCAGCAGGTACCGGCACAGCTCCGAGTGGCTCATCTTGGCAGCCAGGATCAGCGGCGTGGAGCCGTCCTGGGCACGGCATGGCAGGCAGGAGGGGAGCAGAGGAGGCTCAGATCCCCCCACGGGGCAGCCTGCTCCCGATATCACCCCAATTTCCACGTCCCATCCCAATTTCCACATCCCATCCCAATTTCCATGTCCCACCCCAATTTCCATGTCCCACCCCAAGCTGTGCTGTGTTTTGGGACAGCCCCAGGCTGGCAAAGCAGGACCAGGAGCAGATGGACCCCACCTTGTCCTTGCTGTTCAAGGGAGCCTTGAAGTCACAGAGGATCTCGGAGCAGGAGATGCAGCCGCTGGCAGCTGCGGACAAGGACAGGGCTGAGCACTGTCCCCACCGGGACAGGAGCAGGACAGGGCTGGCACTGCCCCACGGTGACAGGAGCAGGACAGGGCTGGCACTGCCCCACGGGGACAGGAGCAGGACAGGGCTGGCACTGTCCCCACTCACCCGCCAGGTGCAGCGCGGTCCGGCCACTGCCATCGGCCACGTCCACGGGGCAGGAGGCCTGGGGGGAGAGCCTGGGTCACGGGAGGAGGGGGACAGAGGGACAGACTGCTCGAGTGGCTCTGTGGCACGGTGAGGGACAGGGGACTGACAGACTCTGCGGGGTGGTGAAGGAGGGGGACAGATATACAAACCCCCTCTGGCCCCACGCTGTGGTGAAGGACAAGGGACTGACCCCTGTGGCTCCCTGGTGCCAGGCAGCAGCACACAGAGCTGGGAGCCACCATGCCAAGGCACTGGTGAGGGAAGGGGGTTCAAGGACAGGGAGGACACTCTGCTGGCACAGCACCTCCCTCCCTCCCGCTGTCCCTCCTCCCTCTCCCTGTACCTGCAGCAGTTTGCTGACACACTGAGGGTGGCCGTGCTTGGAGGCCAAGTGCAGGGCAGTGTAACCTGGGAAGGGACAAACAGGTCAGAGCACGACCAGCAGGGCTGTGCCAGAGGGGACAGCTTGGGGACAGACACAGGAACAAAGCAGGATCTGCTGGAACGGGGCTGAACAGGAAGGGGACAACCCCAGGAGCTCATGAGCCACTGCTTGAGCTCCTTTACGAAACTGGGACAATTTACAGCCCCCAGGTGTGGCCACCACCTCTGTCCCCTGAACAACAACACCTGGGGATGACCAGCGGCCCTGTGTGACCCATGGCATTAGGCAGGGCCACGTGGTGGCCATGGCCTCACCCGAGCTGTCCTTGGTCATGGCATCCACGCCGTGGGCCAGCATTGCTTCCAGGCAGTCCACGTTGCCCCGCGTGGCAGCCAGGTGGAACCTGCAGCGAGACCAGGGGCCGTGGGACTCGTGTCCCCTGTCCCCAGCCGTGTCCCCCGGGCAGGGCTGGCACTCACGCGGATTTGCCCTCCGAGTCCAGCTTGGTGGGCACCAGGCCCTTGCGGAGCAGGAGCGACGTGACCCGCCCGGCATCGTTGTAGTCCACGGCCTGCAGCAGCTTCTCGTCGTTCTTGGTCCAGTCCTGGCTCTGCAGCAGAGCCCAGAGGAAGCTGTGACAGCGTCAGCTGTGACAGTGCTGTCCCCAGGGCGGGCAGGGCTGGGCTGGGCTGCCTGTCCTTGTCCCCAGCCCTGTCCCTGGGGGTGGCCGTGTCTCACCCCCAGGTATGGGGAGTTCAGCAGGGATTGGGATGAAAATCCCCTCCATACCCCCCCAGTTTGCAGCTCACAGAGCAGGGCATTTACAGACACAGCCCCGTTTAGCTGTGCCAGGCTGGGATTTGGGAGCAAGCCCAACTGCCCCAGGGTTTGCCCCTGCCACCCTGAAATCCCACGACTAAACCCAGCCAGCACCCACGGGAGCCCCAGCCCTGCCCGTTCTCCCCGCTGATCCCATTCCCAGCCCTGCTTTGCTCCCGGAGGAGGAAGGATCAAAGCAGGGCGAGCACAGCTGGCAGCGAGCGCAGATCCCCGGGGATGCTCCAGCCTCCCGGGATAACGGGACACAGCGCTGTCCCCCCCAGAACAGGACCGCGCCTGCTTGGGGTTTGCTCTCCCGGTGCTCCCGCACATCCCGGAGGAGCGACCCGCAGCGGGACAGGACCAGGACAGGCACCGCAAGTCCTGGCTTCACCCCGCAGCCCGTGACGACAAAGCGGCGCTGGCTGCGCTGGCGGCGGCAGGAAATGGATGTCACCTTTCGGGAGCCGCTGGCACCTGTCCCAAACCCGCCCGTGCCCGCCGGGTGCCCCCCGAGCCCCCCCAGCCCAGTGGGACCAGGGACAGGGAACAAACCAGTCTCCCGGGGCTCCTGGGCAAACTGGGAGGGTGGTGCCCGCTCCCCCAGTCCCTGGTCAGGCAAGGACAGAGCAGGATGGGGAGGACACGGGGGAGCCCCGGGATGGGGATGGGGATGGGGATGGGGGCGCATCCCCGCATCCCTGCTCCCAGGCTCCCTGGTCCCAGTTAAAGCGGGAGAGGTTACGGGGGGGCGGCTGTCCCACCTCAAAAGCACCCCCAGACCAGGGCTGAGCGTCCTCCTGGCCCCCGAGGAGGGGGACCGGGAACCCCGCCCCACTCTGGAGCCAAGGGAGGGATGGAATCCCCCCAAACACCCCTCAGGGGGGAACCCTGAAACGCAGAGGGTCACCAGGCGCTGTCCTGGCAGTCCCGGTGGCAGCAGGACATCGGGAGCCTCTCAGGGACGTACCCAGGGCAGTGTGGGGAAACTGAGGCACGGAGCGCCCCGAGCAGGATGGTGCCCCAGACTCCAGGTGAGGGGCCTCAAGCTGTGTCCCCACGTCCCCGGCTGTGTCCCTCCCAGTGCACTGGGGACAGCGCTGTCCCCCTCTGCCCTCTGCGGCCCCGTGCCAGGCTGGCTGCTGAATAATTGAGGAGCATCGACAGGCTGGTTCCACAGGCTGTGGCAGCTGGCAAAGCGGCACTTGTCCCCAGGAAGGGGACAGGGAGGGGACCTGGCACCCGCTTCCCTGCCCTTTGCTCTGCCCTGCTCCCAGCGATGGCTCTGGGAGCACTGGGGGTGCCCTGGGGGCTCCATTCCACCAGCCAGGGTGGCAGTGCCAGCCTCCGTGGGGCTGCTGTCCCCGTTGTGAGCGACCACCCCGTGTCCCAGGGCAGGGGTGACACTGCCCCTGTGACGCTGGGGGCATCCTGGGGGAAATCCCCAGCTCCTCACGTCCCAGGGAACATCCCAGGGCAGGTCCCCGTGTCCCCACGGACATCCTGGAGCAGATCCCAGTGTCCCCACGGACATGCTGGGGCAGGTCGCCGTGTCCCCGTGTCCCCAGGGGTGGCACTCACATCTGCCTTCCTGAACCTGGCCTTCAGGCTCTTCATGGTGGCTCGGCCTCAGCCCTGCGGCAGCTGCTGGGGGGGATGGCCACGCTCCAGGAGGGTTTGTCCCTGCCTGGGGACAGCTCGGCGCCCCCGATCCCGCTGCTCCCAGCCCGTCCTGCCGCTCCCAGCGCAGCGCCCGCAGCCGGGAACCGGAGCCGGGGATTGTGTTACGGCCGCGGCTGCGGTTACAGCCCCGGGCAGCCGGGGGGGCCGGGCCGGGCTGTGTTTGGGGACAGGGGACACGGCCGGGGGTGCTGGAGGTGCCTGGGGAGGGCTGGGCTCGGATGGTTGGCACCCCCTGCCCATCCCAAACACCCCCTGCCCTTGGTGGCACCCCTTGTCCTGAGCTGACATCTGCTTCCCTGCCCTGGCAGCCCCTGGCTCTGCCAGCGCCTCCTGTTCTTGTCAGCATCTCCTGCTCCTCCCTGGCACCCCTGTCCCTCCCTAGCACCCCTGTCCCTTCCTGGCACCCCTGCTCCTCCCTGGCACCCCTGTCCCCTCTCTGGCACCCTGGCTCCTCCCTGGCACCCCTGTCCCTCCCTGGCATCCCCTGCTCCTCCCTGGCACCCCTGTCCCTCCCTGGCACCCCTGCCTTTGTCAGCACGCCCTGTCCTTCCCTGGTAGCCACCACTCTGCCCTTCACCCCCGTCCTTGCCCGCACTCCCTGTCCCTCCTTCCTTCCTTGGCACCCCTGGTTTTGCCAGCACTCCCTGCTCTCCCTGGCACCCCTTGCCCTTGGTGGCACCTCTTGTCCATCCCTGGCACCCCTGTCCTTGCCGGCACCCCTTGCCCATCTCTGGCACTCTTTGCCCATCCCTATTCCCGCCTGGACCGGGGGGGCAGTGCCGGGGCAGTATTGGGACACTCTCGGGCTCCGGGCAGTGCTGGGGCAGTATCAGGACACTCTCAGGCTCGGGGCAGTGTCAGGGCAATGCCGGAGCAGTGTCGGGGCAGTGGCAGTGCAGTGTCCCGGCAGTGTCCCGGCGGTGTCGGGCATGGCTTGAGCAGTATCGGGACACTCTGGGGCTCCGGGCAGTGTCGGGGCAGTGCCGGGGCAGTATTCGGACAGTATCGGGACACTCTCGGGGCAGTGCCGGGGCAGTGTCCCGGCGGTGTCGGGGCAGTGTCCGGACAGTATCGGGACACTCCCGGGGCAGTGTCAGGGCACTACTGAGCAGTTTCGGGACACTCTCGGGGCAGTGTCAGGGCACTACTGAGCAGTTTCGGGACACTCTGGGGCTCGGGCCCGGCTGAGGGCAGCCCCGCCTTGCCCGGCTCCAAGATGGCGGCGGCGGCCCCGGGGCGGTCCCGCGGCCCCGGCCCCGCCCGGCTCTTCCGCCGCGCCGCGGCCGCGCCGATGGCGGTGAATTACGCGGCCGGGCTGTCCCCGTACTCGGACAAGGGCAAGTGCGGCCTCCCCGAGGTGAGCGCGGCGCCGCCGGGTGAACCCCCGCCCGCCCGGCGGAGCCTCCGCCCGCCCGGGCCTCCCGCGGGCCCTGCCGCGGCCCGGCGCGTTCCCATGGCAACCGCGGCCTCGGCCCCGCGCCGGGAGCCGCCGGGCCTTTGTGTGTCCGCGGCTCCCTCGCTGTGCCCTGCCGTGGGTGCCTGTCCCCAGACACCCCATGGCTCCCTCGTGCCCCCCCAGGCCGCCCCCGGCTCCCTCCGTGTCCCCTTCCATGGCCTGATCCTTCCTTCTCCCCCCATGGCTCCGGCCGTGTCCCCCCTGAGCCCCAGCAGCTCTTGGGAAGCTTAAAACGGGGTTTGGGGACATTCAGGAGCCTGTCCTGGTGAGGGGACAGGGACACACAGGCTCCTGTCTCTGTCCCCAGGAGATGGGGCTGGAGAATTAAATCAGGAATTAAATCTACTCCCCAGACCAGCGTCTGGTGTCCCCACCTCCACAGCTCCCGTGTCCCTCGCTGTCCCTCAGGCCTGCCCTGTCCCCTGAGCTGGTGGCACTGCTGGGGCTGAGCACACGTGGGGTGACCCCGGGTGGCTCCTGGAGCCCAGCCTGGGCCAGCTGCCTGTCAGAGCAGCAGCCTCCCTGCTGGTGTTGGGTGTTCCCAGCCCTGTCCCTGCACGGAGATGCTCCAGACAGCGCCGAGCCTCTCCTATTTAATGTTTCTATCATTAAGGAATGCAAAATCCTTCATGGACAAGGAAGAATTGTGGGTTACCGGGGCTCTAGAATCATGGAATCCCGGAATGGTTTGGGTTGAAGGGACATGAAGGATCATTCAGTCCCAACCCTGCCATGGCAGGGACACCTTCCACTATTCCAGGCTGCTCCAAGCCCTGTCCAGCCTGGCTTCGACATTCCAGGGATCCAGGGGCAGCTCTGGGAAATCCATTCCAGGGCCTCTCCACCCTCCCAGGGAAGGATTCCTTCCCCATATAACCCCCATCTCTCCACCCCACGCTGGTTTTTGTGTTTGCCCAGATTTTTGACCCTCCGGAGGAGCTGGAGCGGAAGGTGCAGGAGCTGGCAGAGCTGATCCGGAGCTCCTCCCATGTGGTGTTCCACACGGGGGCAGGGATCAGCACGGCCTCGGGCATCCCTGACTTCAGGTGAGTCCAGGGCTGGGAGCGTGGCACCTCCTCCCAGTCCATTTCCTCCGTGGAAGGCTCTGATTTAACCCAGACCTGCCCCATCCCTGCTGTCCATCCCAGATCCAGCTGCAAACACCATTTTCCCTCTTGCCCGGCTCATCTGCTGCCACAGAATCCCCACATTGCTTGTATCAGCCCCCAGATTCCTGCTGATCCATGAGCTCTGCTCCCGTGGTTGGGGCACCTGGAGCCTGAGCTCTCCCTTCCTGCCTTTTCCAGGGGCCCCAATGGTGTCTGGACTATGGAAGAGAAAGGGCTCTCCCCAAAATTCGACACCACCTTCGAGAATGCCAGGCCCTCCAAGACCCACATGGCGCTGCTGGGGCTGCAGAGGGTGGGAATCCTGAAATTCCTGGTCAGCCAGAACGTGGACGGCCTGCACGTGCGCTCAGGATTCCCACGGTATTTCCCAGCCCCTCACAGAGGGTTTCATTCCCAGGGAATCTCTGCCCTATCTGGTACGAGGAGGGGAAGCTGGAAGGGGCTAAACCAGCTGGAATTTAGAGGGGAGACGTTCTGGTTCTGCTGCAGAGGGTCGTGGAATGAAATGAATTGGTTGTTGCTGTCTAGAAATGCTTCCAGGTGCTGTTTGTGCACAGGAAAAACAGATTATGGAATCGTGGAATCCCAGAATGGTTTGGGCCGGGAGGGACCTTAAAGCCCATCTCATTCCCCTGTGCAGGGCCAGGGTTTGAATTCAGTGATCCCTGTGGATCCCTTCCAGCTCAGGATATTATTCTGTGATCCCTGTGGATCCCTTCCAGCTCAGGATATTCTGTGATCCCTGTGGATCCCTTCCAGCTCAGGATATTCTGTGATCCCTGGGAACAGTCAGGGCCAGGCTGGATGGGGCTTGGAGCAGCCTGGGACAGTGGGAAGTGTCCCTGCCCATGGCAGGGAGTTGATCTTTTAAGGTCCTTTCCAGCCCAACCCATTCTGTGGTCCCATGAGTCAGGATGTGACTGAGGAGCATCCATGTGTCCTTGGAGAAGGTGCCTCTCTCAAGCTCCTTCAGCCAGAGCTGCCTCCAGGGCATTTCCTGTCATTTCCCCAAGTCCTGGGTGCTGCTCCCAGCCCCGTGTTTGTCTGTTCAATCTAAACAACCATGGGAAAAGCAGCAGGGAATGATGACAGAATTCCATAGGGCTCCCACAGCCTGGAGCCACTGGCTCCTGTTCAGTTCAGCCCAGCTCTGCCTCCCAAATGAAGCCTGTGCTTGAGTAAGCTGAACTGGGGCCAAACTGGGGGAAATCAAGTCAGTCCTGTCTCACGCAGCCTGGAGGAAGTTCCCAGTGGGGCTCTGAGGAAAACAGGGAGAGCACGGCCGTGTTTTCCTCTGGCTTCTGCTCTGAGCCTGGGGGGAATTTTAGGAAAAACAGGTGTCAGAGGGCTGGAACAGCACAGGGGCAGACAGGAATGTTGGGTGCTGGAAAAGCAAAGGTCTGGATGCTCCCAGGAGCAGAGATTTGAGTGGATCAGGAGCTGCAATCGGTGCTGCAGATGGAAACATTAACATTAAAAGGCCAGGATCTGCTGCCCCTTCCTCAGTCCCTGTTGGGGGGTGAACCCATCACCTGGCAGGGCTGGAATGCAGGGAAGCCCTTGAGGTTCCTGGGGAGGGGTAGGGTTCCCCCAGGGCTCCCCACCCTTCCCCAGCTCACCTGTGCCTTTCTCCCACAGGGACAAGTTGGCCGAGCTCCACGGGAACATGTTTGTGGAAGAGTGTGTGAAATGTGGGAAGTACGTGAGCCCTGGGGGGGCTGGGCTGAGATCCCCATCCCGGGGGAACTGGGATCCCAATCCCAGGGGAAACTGGGATCCCCACCCTGGGAAAGGGGGATCCCCATCCCAGGGGGAAGCTGGGATCCCCATCCCCGGGGAAGCTGGGATCCCCATCCCAGGCTGTGCTGGGCACGCAGCCCTGGGCTGAGCAGCTCTGTGTCCCACAGGCAGTACGTGCGCGACGCCGTCGTGGGCAGCATGGGGCTCAAGCCCACAGGCCGCCTCTGCAGCGTCACCAAGGCCCGGGGGCTGCGGGCCTGCAGGTAGGGACTCCTCCTGGGCTGTGGGCTGGGGAACGACCCAACAGCCCCTCAGGTTTGGGAGAAGCAGCACAAGGTGATCTCTCTGGGTGCTCTCCATCCCTTCACAGTGTGGGGACAGGGAGGGTGGGACAGGCTCTGGTCATTGTCCCCTTTGCCAGGGCAGCTCTGCTGCCTGTTCTCCTGCCTTTTCCAGGGAAAAACATGGTCCCTGTGTGTGTTTTCCAGAGGGAAGTTACGAGACACTATTCTGGATTGGGAAGATTCCCTCCCTGACCGTGACCTGACGCTGGCAGATGAAGCCTGCAGGTACTGCCTGCTCAGGAGGGGAACAGCCCCTTCCCACCCATCCATGCCCTGAGTCTGGATTTCTGCTCCTCCCTGCAGGAAAGCCGATCTCTCTGTCACCCTGGGGACCTCTCTGCAGATCAAACCCAGTGGGAACCTCCCGTTGATCACCAAGAAGAGAGGAGGGAAGTTGGTCATTGTCAACCTCCAAGCAACCAAACACGTGAGTGAGCATCCTACAGCGCTGCACTGCTCCTTTCCCCTCCTGTCCCCTCCTCCAGGCCCATCCCATGTTTGTCCCTGCACGTTGTCCCCTCCCAGGTGGCCTCTCTCAGCAGGCAAACAGGCTGGGAGTCCTGGGTTGGAGGGTTTAAACCTGCAGC